AGATGAGGTGCTATACAGCTCCTGTTAGATGAGGTGCTATACAGCTCCTGGTAGATGAGGTGCTATACAGCTCCTGGTAGATGAGGTGCTATACAGCTCCTGGTAGATGAGGTGCTATACAGCTCCTGCTAGATGAGGTGCTATACAGCTCCTGCTAGATGAGGTGCTATACAGCTCCTGCTAGATGAGGTGATATACAGCTCGTGTTAGATGAGGTGCTATACAGCTCCTGTTAGATGAGGTGCTATACAGCTCCTTGCTTGATGCGGTTGTTATCTTTTGGAAAGAGAGCAAGTAACTAAGTAGAACTGACAACAGCTTTGTAAATGTAAATTGTTTTTATAGCTGTTGAACTGTGTCTACAGCAGTGTGAGTCCATAGCTGTGTGTTTGTACAGGTTTGTGTGTCTGTAGCTATGTTTGTCTACAGTTGTGTAAATGTGGCTGTGAGAGTCTAAAGTTGTTGTGTAAAGCTATCTAAAGTTGTGTAAATGTGTCTAGATTTGTTTGTCTACAGTTGTATAGGGTTGTCTACAAGTGTGTAAATGTGTCTACAGTTGTGTAAATGTGTCTATGGCTCCGGGTGTTTAAAGTAGTTGTGTAAATCTATCTAAAGTTGTGTAAATTTGTCTACAGTTGTGTAAGAGTGTCTACATTTGTGTAAGTGTGTCCACATTTGTGTAAGTGTATCTACATTTGTGTAAGTGTATCTACAGTTGTGTAAATGTGTCTATGGCTGTGTAAGTGTATCTACAGCTCTATAGGTGTGTCTAGAGCTGTGAAAGAGTGCCTACAGCTATGGAATCGCCTCTACGACTGTGGCATTGCGTCTATAGCTGTAAAACCGTTACAGTGTGTCCACAGCTGTAGAGCTGCGAAATTGTATCAACAGCTTTGAAACTGACTTACCGGCTGTGGGAAAGTGTCAACAATTGTGACATTGTGTCTACAACTGTGCCATTGTGTCTACAACTGTGACATTGTGTCTACAACTGTGACATTGAGTCTACAACTGTGCCATTGTGTCTACAACTGTGCCATTGTGTCTACAACTGTGCCATTGTGTCTACAACTGTGCCATTGTGTTTACAACTGTGACATTGTGTCTACAACTGTGACATTGTGTCTACAATTATTACATTATGTCTACAACTGTGCCATTGTGTCTTCAACTGTGCCATTGTGTCTACCTTCTTGGAAATAACTACATCAGATTTTGCCCTACGCATTAGTGACTAACAACGCTGTAAACATCAAAACATTGCTCAAATTTTCCCACAAGTTAATAGACAACAACAACCGAGGAATCCTTTTTTCAACCCCACGTTTTTCATGTCAAATTCCTGTTGATAGTTTTGACAATATCTGCCCTTCAGCGTTTTATAACTTATCTTTTTCTCACAGCTAAAATAAGGTCCCATCCCGGAAATTCCTTTCACCGTGTGACTTTATTGTTTGTTTACCTTTAACAATTTCTACTGTTTTGAAAACTTCACACAGGGACCATAAATATTGTTGAAATGTCAAATTGTGATATCTAGGTCGAGCGATCTTCCATGCCTTATTTGAATCAGTTACCTCCCTTAAATGACCTATTGGAGTTATCTCAATCTCATTAGGCCATGTAAGAACAATGATGCTATGGAAGCAAATCCAAAAAAAAAAAAAAAAAAGCAGAATGAAATCGGAGTCTATGGCCTCCATGGCGCATAACCAGTTGACACGTATACTTAATTGTGTTAGAGGGGATCCTTTACAACACTAAAAATTAGGAACAAAGGAGAAGATAAGGTTAAATATTTTAAAATTATGCAATGGAATATTTTGGAGAAAAAAAAATTCCATCTTCCCTCCTATCCCCGAACTAAATAAAAATTTTATACACAATATATACTCCAACTATTTTCCACACCCCTTAGAGATATCATCAAAGCGAATTCGCAATTTAGATCCGCCCCCCCCCCCCCTCTCTCAACCTCGAAAGTTTCAAATGCTTCTCTACCCCGGAGAAAAGTATCTAAAAGCAACACTGTTTCTGTCAGTAAGATGAAGTAAAATCGGGCTTATATAAATTATGTTTTTTTTTCATCACAACCTAAAGCTTCACTTTCAGTATCAATCTAGAGTGCTCAGCTTCCGTCTGGGAGCAATTTCAACCAATCAAAACGAGTTTCCGGTCGACATTGGCCAGGTCATGACTTTATCTACCAACTTCCACTTGCACTCTTCATGTCGTGTCTCGTTACGCTGCGTCGATCTTTCTTAATTCGGCGAAACAGGATCAGTTAGCCCAGCAGGAAAATATTTAAATATATAAATATAGATTTAAATATATTGTAAAAGAAAATACACAGAATCCACCGTAAAAACCTTGTACATTTTATAAATTCCCTTTTTTCGTGTCGTACTTCGCTTATGTTGCTTTTAATCATACAGTTCTGTTTTTGTCTGTTTTTAAAAACAAACCAGTTTACTCAAAACACTTCAACTTTCTGCGACTTAACGTATAAGTTTGTATTTCTACGAATTACTCTTCATATAATGTACTACTAACAGCTAACGTTGCGCCATGGCTTTGATGTTAACTCTAAGTGGTCACTATTTATTCTAGGGACAGTTGACTGACCATCCGATCACATGTTGAATTTAGAGTATCGACATTACAGTCTGGTTACACGGGTTTGGTTAATCTGGTACGTGATCTCTAGTCGTACTCTGGTCTAGTGGTCACATACGTGATCTCTAGTCGCACTCTGGTCTAGTGGTCACATACGTGATCTCTCGTCGTACTCTGGTCTAGTGGTCACATACGTGATCTCTAGTCGTACTCTGGTCTAGTGGTCACATACGTGATCTCTAGTCGTACTCTGGTCTAGTGGTCACATACGTGATCTCTAGTCGTACTCTGGTCTAGTGGTCACATACGTGATCTCTAGTCGTACTCTGGTCTAATGGTCACATACGTGATCTCTAGTCGTACTCTGGTCTAGTGGTCACATACGTGATCTCTAGTCGTACTCTGGTCTAGTGGTCACATACGTGATCTCTAGTCGTACTCTGGTCTAGTATTAACCAAATGTTCCCTTACAAATTAACCTAATGTTCCCTAAATATTAATTAAATGTTCCCTTACATATAAAACACAGTTCCCTAACATTTTAACCAAGTTTTGCCTAACATATCAACCAAATGTTCCCTAACATAGTAACAAAATGTTACCTAGTGCTAACTACCCTACCAGTCTTTCTAATCCACTATCAATCTAATAATTTTCTTAAACCTATTTTAAGCCAGGCACTTCATCTATTTATACCACCATCGAAAGCTAAACCGATCAGATTGCTATCATTATAGGCAACAACTCGGGTAATCGAAACCATACACACATTACAATCGTTATTTTAAACTCGCTAATTAGTTGTGGAGACTTGATTACATATGCTTGTAGCATTACAAATTATTTTCATCATATTTTTTATCTTAGTCGGATTTGTCATAACGGCATATCGTTAATATGTTTCGGTCGTTAAAGTTGATACGCTTATTATTAGGGTTTAGGGTTAGTATACGGTGGGCAATTATGATTACGATTACAATTGCGATTACGAGTACGATTACAATAAGGATTACGATTATGATTTCGAAGATAGGCGTAGGGTTACGGTTAGAGTAAGGGAAGATCAGGGTTATAGTTAAGGCGGAGGTTAATGTTAGGGTTATGTTTAGGACAGCATTGGAATCACAACTATAGTAGGGCCGTGGTCCTGCTAACATAAAATATCAGCACACATCTGTTGGAGAATGTGGAATGACTAACTCGTTTAACATTGGGATAACTTTGCAGACGCAGGCAAGTGTGACCGCACTGTTGTGGCCTTGACCGTGAACTTTTGCATTTGAACCTTGCGCAGCATGTCACCCAACCACATTTTACGGTTTTGATAAAAGGAAAAAAAAACGGAGGGTCCTTGCGAAGCCGCAGCCGTCAACAAGACGGCCTTCATTTGATCAAACAACCTGATGACTCATCCGTCAAGAATTTGGCAGTTCCGGTTGAACGTGTCCTCTTCTTCACCTCCCCCCGCCCCCTTTCCCACCCCACTTTTTTTTTCTAGTAACGTGATGTTCCACCGCTTTACGCGGGGAAGTGGTTTACCTAGAAAAGCTAAAAATAGACGGGGTATTTCCGAATTTAGTAAAAATGAAAGTAACTTTTCTCACGATTGTGAGTCGGTCTATGGACCGCCGGCAGCCCCGGCGGGGCTTCTAAAGAAAAGTGAGATGGATGCTTAGCAGTGGCTTCGTTAGGTTGGGTGTCACCCGGTGCGGTCCACTCCCCCCCCCCCCTCCCATACGCATCTCGACCCACGCCCCTGGTGCTTAAGATAGTTTTGGCATTCCGTTTTTTGTTCTTTCTTATTTTTCCCTACGTTTTTTTATTTTTAACTGTTAAAATTGTGTCTCAATTGTGTATCAATTCGAGTGCTTTGATCGACTTTATGTTACGGTCCATTCCGTTTTGCTGATAGTTAAGGTTATACTAAAGAGAATAAAAAAACTAACCCTGGCCTTAAAGTGGTTCACCAAATATTACTAAAACATTTCATTCTTCAAAATCTTCATCTACATATTTTTAAAACATAGATTCTACCATTTAATGCACAATATCTTAAATTTCACTGAATCCACATCCCAAATATTTTGTCCATTGTTGACCCAGGTATGATCGCAAATACCAACATAAATTTAAGGTTAAACTCTGAATTCTCTAGCACAATATGAATGTCTCTAAAAGGTGTTTTACTATAGCTCATTATCCGTGTCTCTAAATGGTGTTTTACTTTAGCAAACTATGAATGTTTCTAAACGGTGTTTTACTTTAGCGCTCTAAATGGTGCTTTACTTTAGCATATCATACATGTCTTTAAATGTTACTTTACTTTCTTTGTTGTTATTTTATAAATGTGATTTAGCAATAAACCTCATGTTTCTTCCTATCAGGATTCGAACCATGCCTTTAGCGACATGCCAGAAGAAGCGAGTCCCTTTTTCCAGCTACCACGGCAGGAACATCAAACTCCTGCAAGATGGCGGCGTCACCGGGGAGTATCGCAGGGCCCACGGGCAGTTTATCCTTGACGACTGTCTCGTCCCGGGGCAGAGCTTCAGCTTAGAGTTTCACTACAAAGGTAACGAGCCCTTTACGAGTGCAAAGAGAACAGAAAATAGTAGACATATACACATTATTGTTGCTGATTCGGTTTCGTGCATTGAATATCCTCACACGTATCAATACAATATACAAGTTTTTAAATAAACCAGCGAGAAAGACGTTATCCTTTTTTTCACCAAGCTTTTTTTCTAAACATAACTAAAACCATAAAGTAATATTATTAAAATCACGCAATCCCATGTAGTTTAATTAAAATAGAGGCATCACATGTTTTAAAATGATTTTATTTTGTACAAATATCCCTACTTGGAAATTTAAAATATGTAAACCATTTTCAACGAATTAGTACTAAACTAAATACTAAAAAACAAATTATTTTAACTTAAAAAAATATTTTCTTTTGAACATTGCTCTCCCATTCCATTTAATCACCTTTGGTACCGCCTGGTAAGTAGGTCACCAACCAGTTCCACGGCTCAATAAAACCTGCATGAGACATAGAACTGGTTGGTGACCTACTTACCAGCCCTATTATCCGCCAACCTTAATAGAATGTTGCTCTCCCTCCCCGCCCCTGCAGGTATCATCAAGATCGGAGCGTTCCCCACCAAAGAGGCGGCACTCAGTTGGCTGGAGTCTAAACAACCCATGTCCAGAGGCTGTATTAGGGTCAGGACGTGTCAGGCCGTCCGGTACAACGTTAGACGGCCATCCAGAGCTCAGGAGATAATTCTAAGCTCCGAGTGGTCAAATGAGGTGAGACACTTGCAGACATATGGGACCTGAGACACATGGAGTCTCAGATGATATCACAGGAAGACAGTCACTGAGACACGCTTACATACATCTCTATTTACCTCTGTCTCTGTATATATACATACATACATACATATATATATATATATATATATATATATATATATATATATATATATATATATATATATATATATATATATATAATGTGCCATTTTTCAGCCTGAGAAACTTTATGGTTCTATTCTGGCTTTCGACATTGAATACGGAAATCTCACAGTGTCCATTTTCGACTATAATCCATCCGGCAGATCCTGTAAATTTGATGCAGATCGTCACAGGTAAGCAGCTCAGCGTCAGGTCGTGTTGTGTGGATTATCCTGTTGTTTTTATAACTTTCGTCTCATTTTTTTATGGCCTGCTCCTACCCATTCCTGTCTTATACCTAGCCGAGGCTTCTCAAGTCATTTACAATATCTTGTGATTCTCAAAGTTCTATTTAACATCCCCTCGTCCTTCTCGTCCACGTTGCCTCACCCCACGATCTCATTAAGTTCAAATCCACGCAGAAAATATTGCTTCTCCCAAACATTTGATTAAGCTCCGCTCATTAGACCACATAGCCACTCCCCATTATCTTTCTTAGCCCCGCCCATCTAACACCACAGCCACGTGCCATTATCTTTCTTAGCCCCGCCCATCTAACACCACAGCCACGCCCCACCATCTCTCTTAGCCCCATCTAACACTGTAGCATCACCCCACTATCTTTTTAGTCCCTCACATCAAACACCACAGCCACACACCATTATCTTTTTAACCCCGCCCATCTAACACCATAGCCACACCTCATTATTATTCTTAGCCCCTCACATCTAACACCATAGCCACACCCCATTATCTTTCTTACCCCGCCCATCTAACAATACAGCCACGCCCCACAATATTTCTTAGCCCCGCCCATCGAACAATACAGCCACGCCCCACTATATTTCTTAGCCCCGCCCATCGAACAATACAGCCACGCCCGACTATCTTTCTTACCCCGCCCATTTACCACCTTAGCCACGCCCCTCAACACGTTTCCTCTCCACCCACAGCCAACACATCATCGTCACCAACGCCCTCCGGATGTCCAGCGCCGTGTTGAAGCACTACAACCCCACCTCTTTGTGCACCCCCGACAAAAGCCACCTCACGCCCAACCACCTCTACAAGGTCGTAGCCCGCGGCCCACCAAGACCCACCTCCACCGGAAGCTACGTCAGGGTCTGCGTTGCCAAGCGACCAGAGAATATCTACATCAACGGCGCGGACGACCGGTACTGTGTGGGTACGGAGGACTGTCCTGTTTTCTGTGGCCGACGTATCATGCTCAACCCCAACAGTGAGCAGTGTTTGATGCTCAAGGTCGAGGCCAATGGGATAGTTGTAGAAAGGTATTCACTTTTCCCTCTCACTTCTTTACAAACACTAAGGGGTCATCCATAAATGACGTCACACTTGTAGTGAGGAGGGGGGGGGTCCGTAATGTTGTGACGGTGTGTGTTGAGGGGGGGGGGGTTCAGATTGTGCGCGGTCACACTTTTGCATTTAAAAAAAAGCCATGTTAGAAAACTAATTTTAGACGTTATTTCGGGTTTTAGAAAACTGTTTTAATAAATTGTAATAGGAATTGATTAAAATACTCTATATAGACAGAGTTCAGACAAGATTTTGGAAAAATATCGATGTTTTAAAAAAAAAATTCAACTGCAATTTTGAGAGGGGTTGTCGACTGAGATGTGACGTTATTTTAGTGGTGAGGGTCTGGTTTTTGAGGGGGGAGGTAAAAATCGTTTAAAAAAGCGTGACGTCATTTATGGATGACCCCTAAACCAAATTTACAAAATCTGAACTAAAATGTGAATCTTTTCATAAGTGAGAAAATGAATAACGTATAACCCCCCTGCAAAAAAAAATTACAATTGCTCTATTTGCAAAAGTTCTAACATGACTAAATAAAATATTGTAGTTATGTATTATGTAAATCTGGACTTTTGTTTAAGCGCATCAAAAACTTAGATTCTAAAAAGTGTTTCTAAAGTATTCATTCGCATTTTTCGTGAAAAAAGTTTTAAAATACGTCATTATTTCATGGAAATAGTAGCCTACATTTCAACGTAAACCCATCTGCGCTTACGTTGTATAAGTGGGTAACTTATAAAATAGGAAGGGGTGCAATACTTCACTAAAACAAAATTTTAGTAAGATAAGTATCAGGATGACAAAGGACTTATTAAAATCTTTCCAAGTAAAACAAGTCTACGAGAAAAATCGACAGTAAAAGACTTGAAATAAAAAGCTTAGGAATCCTCACAAACCAAACACAAACAAGAAGCCAATCCCTCATACTACGCTACATTACATCTAAATACACCATTACACTTCGTTAGTTTACCAAAGTTAATTAGTATCATCTCATTATTTTACATATATCCCATGTAACAGTAAGATTTGGTCTTAAGTCTATCACATTGTGTATAAGTTAATTAAACCAAAGAGCTATGGGGCTGTTCATTTAACCATCAAACGGTGTCTTAGTTTGTAAAAAAAAAAAAATCAAATGTTGTGTTTGTTAATTAAACTATCAAAGTTGTCTTAGTTAAATAAAACTATCAAATGATGTTTTAGTCGAATAAGACGATCAAATTGTTTTAGTTAAATAAAACTATCAAATTTTGTTTTACTTCAATAAAACCATCAAATTGTGTTTTAGTTCAATAAAACTACCAAATTATGTCTTAGTTCAATAAAACTACCAAATTGTGTTTTAGTTAAACCATCACTCGATAACTCTCTTTACAGAAACTCGCGTTGCATTGACCGAATTGACGTCCAGATTACCGAGGAATGTGGTTTGTGGTTTGAATTACACCGTGGTTCTCTCCACATGTGGAGATGCAGAGGTAAGCTCCGCTGCTCATTAATTATGTCAGCTGATAGTTGCCTTAAACCAATTACCATTTTAATTAATAAAGACTTTGGAATAAACTGTTCAGCTTTTAAATTATTGATAATGCTGTACATTTTCAATTGTTGATATTGTTGATAAGGTTGTACATTTAGAAATTGTTGATAACGCTGTACATGTTGATATTGTTGATAACGCTGTTCATGTTGATATTGTTGATAACGCTGTTTATGTTGATATTGTTGATAACGCTGTTTATGTTGATATTGTTGATAAAGCTGTTCATGTTGATATTGTTGATAACGCAGTGCATGCTGATATTGTTGATAACGCTGTTTATGTTGATGTTGTTGATAACGCAGTGCATGTTGATATTGTTGATAAAGCTGAACAATTTGATATTTGTGATAACGCAGTACACGTTGATATCTTTGATGTCTTTTCAGCCGTGGAAATAGCAGACGCAGTACTGGAGGATGAGCCACCAAACTACCCCGCCCCTCCCATCCCCAGGAGAAGACAACCCTGCATGTGCCAGAGACCGGAAGTCGACGAGCCACCCACCTATAAAAGACATCCTGCTTTTTCGCAGCCCTCCAGCTGTTCCGACGAGCATGACGTCACACCGTACAGCATCCAGCGTTTTGACGTCAACATGGGGTCTTTATCTTTCGACGACACCAACTCCGACGAGGACGACACACGCGAACAGACGCAGATGAAGTACGAATTCCAACCGGCAACGGACGACAACTCTTCAGACGATCTCTATTGCGATGGGTTCGATTATCCCCCAGGGTACAATAGTTTTTGCCAGACGGAAATCTCCGCAGCGTACAAGAAAAAACTACGACATCAACAAACGGACATGAACGCGTCTTCGTCTTCTCTTTCAACGACTTCCGGTGTCAGAGAGAAGCCTGAAATTCCACCGCGGCACACTGTTGGGATGTTGTACACCAACTCACAAAACGACGGCGCCTGTTCTGCGACTACGGAGACTCAGAACTACAACAACCAGGCGCCTCCGCCGGTGCCCGAACGCCTAGGAAAGTACTCGGTATCTTCTAAACCACGAGTGTTACCCAGATCTACTAACACCTCCTCCAAACCATCGTATACCGCAACATCATCACCACAGCCACCAGCATCACAACCACCACCACCACATTTATCAAGCAGACCCTTCAGGAACCAACAACCTGAATTAACGAGAAGCAACTTAAACATCCGTGAAGAAACAAATTCCTTAAAATCAAAACAGGAACTTTCAAATTCCGGAATAGCGTACAGAACGGACACTGAGGAACAATTGACGGATGAAAAAATCGTCCAGTGTTATAAATGGCTGAAAAGTATTGAGCCTTTCTGTTCGGATTCGGACGAGGAAACTTTCATAGAACTCTCTCCAGATGACGGGAATAGCGTGACCCCTCTCCAAAGCGAGGCGAGCGCGAGTAGGACCGACATTCCCAAACGAGAGATCGTGAACAGTGGCTACAGCACTGAGGGCAGCAGTTTTTGGCTCTCCTATGACAGCCGACATTCAGACGCGCCCAGCATGCAACACCAAATCCGAGTTCAAAGCCCACTTCCGGCAGAAAAAAAACATCCGTCCTTGAACTCAACTCCGGATGTGACGTCATATCCTGCTTCCGGTACTTCGTTTTATTCCGCGTCTTCCAGAACGGGAACAGAAACCACAATGCCAGCAAGCATGCCCTCGAGTATGCCCTCGTCTATGATCTCAAGCTATACCGCCAACGCCAATAGAGCCACTGAAACGGAAGTCAAATTCCCAGACTACAGCCTGGGTGAGCAGACGTACGCCAAAAACATCGACGACTCTTCCTACTCGACCAGCCCCTTCACGGACATGTCCGTTGACGACGACAGCTGTTCCAAACAACACTCCAGCGGCGGGTTCGAAACCAGCGACCACGGCGGCGACGCCATGATTGTCAACGACCTCAGCACGCTTAACAGCGACTACGAAAGCTTCGAGTCAACCAGCAAGGACGGCCGGTTAAACGTGAACGAGTTGAGCAAAACTTCCATCGATTTCTCCATGGTGGAGATGCGGAACAAATCGGCGAATTGGACGAGGAACATCGTCGACAGCTGCACTGTCAACGAGCGTAGTGTCTCCCAGTGCACGCTGATCGCTGTGGTGGACAACGGGCCGGTGGTCAACTTACCGATGACCGACGCCGTCTTCTTCAACAAAACCGGCGTTTTCGAGCGCTCCGATACGTTCAAGAGAAACATGAACAACGTCACACCCCCTAACAACCGGAAACAGTTAAAATCTCCCTGCGTTCCTTGAAAGATGATTCCCTTATAAGGACGTATCCCATTCGAGCGAAGCTCTTGTGCCACAATGGTGTGTAGACCCGGACAATTCTCATACCTCTACCGCCCAGTGTAGACACGGACTATTCTCCGACTTTTACCGCCTATATGTAGACACGAACAATTCTTACGGTGTGTAGATACGGACAATTCTCACACCTTTACCGCCCAGTGTGTAGATACGGACTATTCTTAAAGTGTGTAGACCCGGACAATTCTCACACCTTTACCGCCCACTGTGTAGATACAGACTATTCTCACGCCTGCCATTATGACCAGTGTATTCCCATCAGGTCTTTACTTCCTGGAACCGACCCTTTAACTACCAGTACACCAGTCGGGCGTTCTACTTCTAGACCACCACCATTTGAAAACTAGCTGGACTAACCGGACAACCACTTTACATATACCCCACATCACATACTTATACATATGTTGTGATGCCAAAACACATATAATTGTAGTATTCAAAGATACTAAACCCAAAATATTATCAACATATTTAAATAAATGGAAGATTATATCAAAATATGCCATTGTTTTTTCTCATTGGCATAAATAATCAGCTCGAGACTTTAACATTAGCAATTAAATATCACAAAATGGCTTGCTTATTCGGACGGAGGTTAAAGCATTAGCCAATAATTAATGCATTTTTACATGTAACCAAATTGACTGATAACTCAGATTGGTGAACGCATCTGATATTGAGCCGGTATACCCTAAACAGAAGTTATCACGGCAGTCGCCATTTTATAGTCACCTTGTAAAAATTTGTAAATATGTTATTAATTTGATGCCATGAATAAAATCGTTACAAGATGTAATCAACGGAGTTATTGTTACACCAAGGCAGCTTTAGAAATGTATGAGCTTATTAGTTTTAATAATCTGTTTTGTTCCCCCTTTAAACCTGGCTATCATTAGCCCCCCCCCCCCCCCCCAACTCAACCCCCCAACCCCACCGTCCAATCCCTACTAATATCAGATGATTTTCTAAGCAAGTCTGTCAAGAAACTTTAAGCAGAATCAAACGCTAATCTTCCCAGTCTAGATAAGTACATTAATTAAGTCTAGACATACTGAACTTTAAGTCATAAATATTTGTTGACCATTTGTCTCAACGTCAGACATGATTTAGATTCAAACAACAGACAAAATCAATAAATAATATCGGTCAGACATGTCAAAGAAATAGGTCGGGTGTCCCTAAAGTTTGATACATGACATACAGGATCCAGTTACACCTGTCGTAAAACTTGGGATTAATTTCTCAAGTATAAACAATTCACTACATCATGTTTCACATATTCTAATATCCCTTAATTATATCACTGCTCAATTCAAATTGTAAACATATCGTGTTGATTTGCTTGGTATCACTGACACTCTAGAGTATCCCAGTTCTTAAAAAATATACATTTTGCTAATTTTTCAGCACTTTGAAACTGCAACAAAAAGGAAATTTGTGAAGGTCTCTAGGGGTATCGTCCACCTCATTTGTTAATTTGTTAATTTAAAAACAAACTTCATAACTTTCAATTCATTGTCAGTGCAGTGTTCAAATGTTTCGAAATCACAAACATATTTTGTATTTCTTTTTTCTATGCTTTACTGCGTTGTTCGTGTATATATTGTAATAGTTTTTATGACAATAAAGATTATATTTTGTTGAATTGGTTATGTCTTCATACATTTTTTGTGGAACTTTGAATGTAGGTTGTTCATAGACTAGAAATTGAGCTATATACGAGTGGAACTTTGAATGTAGGTTGTTCATAGACTAGACACTGAGCTATATACGAAAGTGACACTACGAGGGACTGGGAACAAAGAAAAGTTATAAACAGTCTGAAGCATAAGCCAACGTAATAAATAACGCTTCAACATGGCGTAGTCTTCGGTGGGACAAGTACAGTGTAATTAGGTTTCCATAGTTCCCTGTGGTGGTGCTAGGATTAGTGACTAGTGACAATGATGTTGTGACGAACAAAAATGTTCCCATAATTCCCTGTTATGGTGCTAAGGTTAGTGAAACGGTTAAAGGATGGGATGAAGTAAAAACATCATGTCCCGTAAATACCAGTGTTAGAGCTAGGATTAGTAGTGTAAGGATTCCATGATTTACGAACGATAACTATTTATTACTTCCTCATGGCTTGCTGAGGACAAAGTGCTATCTTGATTAAACTAGATGAACCTTCTGGAAAAACACGTACTCACTGTAGTGATGAAGGGAAGTCATTGAAAAATAAAATATAAGGGTAGTCTAAAGTCGACAGGCCACTCGCTAACTTAAGCCTAGTAATAAGTTGATAGTTAACTTCCAATGACACCACCCGTAGGATATTTCCGGTGCTAAAAATATATCTATATTTATAGAAATATATATCCTTGAGAAAAACATACCCTGCCATACTTGATTAATCAATTCGTTTCTTTTATAACTGCTAAAACAAAAAAATGTACTTATAAGTAGCGGCGATTAATAAAGAACTCGAATATACATACATGCATGTCATGTAATTTTTCTGAAGTTACTGTCAACGGAGTTAATTATAAATTAATTAATAATTCCCCAAAAGTTGCAAAACGTCTTTGTAATCTGCTTATACATGTGGTAAAGACAATGAGCCGTAATACAGAGCTTGTGAGTTTCGTGTTAGTAGTTAGCCATCTTAGGGGCCGCATGGTCTGAGGATAGCACTTACGACTGCTGACCTGAAAGTCTTGGGTACGGATCTAGGGCTCGAGTCTATAGGACGTCCCTGAGTCCCTGAGTCCACCCAGCTCTGATGGGTACCTGACTCAGGTTAGAGAAGCATAGGCGGCTTGGTATAGTGCTGAGTACACTATTCTCTTGTATGCCGAGGTCATTGTAGCAGATGAAATCTACTTCATCTGCCCGCCCCACACAATCCCTTTGTATGCCGAGGTCATTGTAGCGGATGAAGTCTACTTCATCTGCCCCGCCGCACTGTATGCCAAGGTCACTGAAACAGATGAGCTCTACTTCCTCCGCCCCACGTATCTTTGGTTCGAACCACCTTGTTGCACTAACTCCCCCACCACACCCAGTCATTGGAAAAATGTGTACACTCAAAACACTCGGAAATAAGTTATACCCGCTAGATTGACTCCTGGTCTGTAGCGCCACAAAGGGTGGGGTGCGGACCACACGGGGTGAGGACCGACCTAGTGACGCCACTGATCCTGGTAATTATATAATTAAGATAATGATCACACTGAGACACTATAGTCAGTAAAGTTTGGAGATAATGCAAATAGAGATAACCATCTTTTTAAAACTTTCTTACTTCATGTGGATGTGTTTCTTATCAAACTAGGAAATCAGCTTCATCCCAGAGTTAAGTGTCTTAGAATTATAAGGGAACTAGGGCCATTTATCGTTTAGAAAATGGGACGGCGTGGCTTAAGCAGTAGCGCGCTAGGCTGCTAACCCAAGAGTCTCGAGTTCGAGTCCAAGACAAAATACCGTCCCTGAGACCACCCAGCTCTGATGGATGCCCAACTGGGCTAAGTGCTGACCACAACTTCAATTCATATGCCGAGGTCAAAGAAACATGTAAACTACTTCATCTGCCAAATGGATAGCTAGATGTTAAGAGGATTCTTTACTTTAAAGCAGGGGTCTCCAAACTACGGCCCGCGGGCCGCATGCGGCCCGCGAAGTCATCTGATCCGGCCCGCGGAGATTTTTTTGTCCTTGGAAAAATCGTTTGTTGGTGATGGCTGAGGAAATTTGCTTAGAAAAATCAAAGACATGCCTGGAAGAAACTGGCCCCCGAACTGAAATTTGTTAGTTACTGCGGCCCTCGGACTATAAAGTTTGGAGACCCCTGCTTTAAAGTGATAAATGAGAGGTGTATATGGCTTCATCACTTTATGTGGTGGTTGTAAATGGAGGGGAGGGGGAGTTGTGAATCGACTAGAGGAGCATGGACTTAATTTTTCGGACAAAAGCTAAGTTAAATGAACGATTACAGTATGGCATTTTATTTTTTGTTAAATGTGGCGTCGGTATTGATGCTGATTCCAAAATAGACATTGGTCATTTCTCTTTCTCAGGTTTAACGCCCCCCCCCCCCCTCCCCCAACCTAACAACCTAACCCCGTCCAACCACTAGGAACCAGTGGATTGAAGACGCTGGAACAAGGAAGGAGGGGGGGGGATCAACAGGACTCAGGAACCAGATCAAACCGGAAATTTCCAATCGTCTGACGGACATCCGTGACCTCTCCCGGTACACAAAAAAAGGTGGAACCGAGGTTAAAGGTCAAAGGTCGCAGGACAATGGCTACTTGAGGCTTTGTGTGGAAGTTCCTAACACTAAAAGACCCACCTAACAGCAGTAATCGCTTCCGTCTTTTGGGACCAATAAAAATCGCTTCAACTAGGAGTAGTACCTTATGGAGATTTTATGTACTGGTCATTTTGCTGATTGGTGCAAGGGTACAAGTCCTTCCAAAGGATCGATGGGGGGAGGGGTATTTGTGGGATAATATGCTACGTTCGGTGTACGGGCGAGTAGCTTAGTTCATTCTTTGTAGAGAGGTGTGTCTGGTTTTCGGGTATAGATAGTCTAAATCTTAAGCTAATGGACTGCTTAGAGCAGTGGTAACCTTTTTGGAACTACCGAACCCCACCAGTTTCATATACGTATTCACCGAACCCTTCTTAATAGCTATATCGTTAGCACTGACAAAATACGATCGTGAACCATATGAGTCAGATGTGTGACTTGACCTCTGCAAAACCCCTGGGGTTCGATCGAACCCAGGTTAAGAACCACTGGTTTAGAGTTAGGGTCAGAGATTAGGGTTAAACTTAAGATGGGGTTCAGGCAGCGTTAAGAAAAAATGAGTATCGATACTACAAATAATCGCCTAAAATAGCTGACCTTTTCCTGTCAACATAAATAACCGAAACCATAGATTTAACCTTAGTCTAAATCTACACTGGTTCCCAGGTAACAGTTGTACAGATGACATTTATCTAGTGACAAAACGTCAACTCTACTTGACATAGTATTGGATGGCGTGGAGGGGACTTATGTGACGATGTACAACTTGGGGTTAATGAGGCGGGGGAGGTTAAGATATCGGACTCAGATTATATTTGTTACAAACAAAAAACATTTACTTCGTTGTTGTTTTTTTATCGGCAACGAAGTAGAGAATGTTTATTTCATTTTTCTGCAGCTGTTACTGAAAACATTTTTATCACTACACTTCTGTTGGTATCCTCTTTTATTCCATTAAATATATTTTATCCCAAATGCTTTTTGTTGTTAGTCTTATTATTGACGATAAGACTAACAACTAAAAGAATTTGGGATCAATTTTATTTACATAGATTTTAAATTTCTTAAAGCTCCTCGTCACCTACTCTAAACCGTCCCAATCTCCCATTGCACTAGTCCACACCTCCCTTAGAACTAGACCACACCTCCCTTAGCTCTAGTTCATATCTCTCCTGGCACCAGTCCACATTCTCCCTAGCACTTAGCACTAGTCCACTCATCCCCTAGCACTAGTCCACACCTCCCCTAGCACTAGTCCACACCTCCCCTAGCACTAGTCCACACCTCCCCTAGCACTAGTCCACACCTCCCCTAGCACTAGCCCACACCTCCCCTAGCACTAGACCACACCTCCCTTGCACTAGTCCACACCTCCCCTAGCACTAGTCCACACCTCCCCTTGCACTAGTCAACACCTCCCCTAGCCCTAGTCAACACCTCCCCTAGCACTAGTCCACACCTCCCCTAGCACTAGTCCACACCTCCCCTAACACTAGTCCACACCTCTCCTAGCCCTAGACCACACCTCCCCTAGCACTAGTCCACGCTACCTCTAGCACTAGTCCACACCTCCCCTAGCACTAGTCCACCCTACCTCTAGCACTAGTCCACACCTCCCCTAGCACAATTCCACACCTTCACTAGCACTAGTCCACACCTCCCCTAGCACTAGTCCACACCTCCCCTAACACTAGACTACACCTCCCCTTGCACTTGACCACACCTCTCCTATCTCTAGCCTACACCTCCCCTAACACTAGCCCACACCCCTTGCACTAGTCCACACCTCCTCTAGCACTAGTCAACACCTCCCATAACACTAATCCACACCTCCCCTAGCACTAGTCCACACCTACCCTAGCACTAGACCACATCTCCCATAACACTAATCCACACCTCCCATAACACTAATTCACACCTCTAGCACTAGACCACACCCACAACAGTTTACAACTTCCCTAGCACAAATAACATCAACTTCACTACATAAACCTTTCGTTTTTTCCAGGAACTTTCTGAAATTTCATTTTTATTTTTGCAGTACTTAAACAAATCTGAAACCACTAGACCATTGCAACCCACTGCCTCTACCATCTGGGTGTAACTAGGCCAAGATTTCCCACCGTGTTCAGCTAATGTGGTGTGTTATGGGACACACAGATTAAAACAGTCTCTAGAAGGAAAACCCAAAACTAAATTTAGACCAGGTCACCTATAGCTGACAAAATAATCTCTTCAGTGACCTTGTTTTTCTTTGCTGGTAGACTTGTTATTCAAAATTTTAAAACACGCAGCTCAAAATAGTACACTTTATGTGCATTCGTGTATGTTTCTTAAAATGTAAGTAGCTTTAGTAAAATAAAAGATTATGTTGTGAATTATATTCAGAGACGGGAAAATTCTATTTTTAGAAGGTCGGCCTTTTCAGTTCAGGCTAGACAGTAGGTCAAGGCTTTTCTTAGAAAGTGGACTGTGACGTTGTTTCGGTTTTGTCAATGACATCGGAGCTTCATAGTTTTTCCAAACACGTTTACACTGGACATTCGGACGTGCATCGACCGTACGTGCATACATTTGTATGAGGTGAGTAGTGTACGATAATGTTTGTTTATCTGTTTGTTTTAATAGTATAATATTAATTATGTATGCTGAACACATTGTAAAGTGAAAGTACTAAAAGTAATACCAAACGTATACGGATGTAAATGTATACCCAGTGTTTTTTTATTGCAAACGCATGCGTAAGAAACTACCTAAGTAGTTATTATCAATAATAATAATAGGCCTACTGAAAGCTTAATGCTTTGTTTAGATCTAGGTTTAAGTTATAATTGCAATAGATTCCCCAATATCTTGTTTATACGAATGTATAATTAAAATTTATGGTTAGGTTTAGGTCTAGGATTACATTTCTGAAAGCAATATATTCTCCAAGATCTTGTTTATACGAATGTATACAAGTTTGGATAACCGACACGTGTTTATATCAGAGGCGTAGCGACCCCTCCTGGCGCCCGGGGACAAACCTTCAATTTGCCCCCCCCCCCAAATAATTTTTTTTCATAATGCAAATCTGCAACTAAAATGAGCTATTAAATTTTTTTTCAACCCATTTTGGCGCCACTAGAGTTGGCGCCCGTGAACATATGTACCCACCCGCCCCCACCTAACGACCAACACCCCAACCCCCTCCCCCGCTCCATACACACATACACACACAAATCCCCCCCCCCCACACACACACCTTATCTCAACAACACACCACGTTACAACTAATCCCCCCTCCACACACACACACACACCAAAATCCTATCCACCCACACCATGCAACCAACTCCCACTAACCCCCCACTTAAGATCTCCACACACACACCAACTTACTCACTAATACCCCCCACCAAACACCCAAGTTGCCCAACGGCACCAAACACGTCTAGTCCCCCCCCCCCTACCACTGCAACGCCTCCCCAGGTACCCCACTGTGAAGACATGAGTTACATCAGTTTTAGATTTTTATAGCCATATGCTGTGATGGTAAATGCATAAACCTATTATGTTTACTTATACATTCAACCATTCAAATAGAAATTTGGCTAAGCTATAATTTAAAATAAAAATAAAAACATTGTTATGTCTAAATATATAACAAACCCACACCCCTTTCCTTTTAATACAAAGGTAAGAAATCACAATAACCCACTTTACCTTGTGATATAATACATGTGTACGATCAACCTAGTTTCGGTTTCAGTGCTTACCTGAAGCAGAGGGAAGGTTTGTGTGTGGGGGGTGGGGTAAGTGTGTGTGTGGGCGGGAGGGGGGGGGGGGGGGGTTAAAAGCTTAGCATGTCGCATCAATCAGGATGTGAACACATGTTGCTTCCCCTTTTGGGCATGACAGTTCTCCTGTTTATACAATAGCTTTGATGTATCTCTTTTGTGTGCACTGCACCCTCCACTCCCTCGAAGCACGTGCACCGTCCTCCCTCTCCCCATCCCCCGAGCGAAATAGAAAAATTATATAATTAATAATATAGTACTTTAACAGGGCACCCCACTCACCCCCCACCCTGAAATATAAGTGCTTCCCCTTTTCACTACCCCGGAGAAACATGAAAGAAACAGTGTTTACATAACCTATGCGTATAAAGATATAATGTGGTCAGCACTATGTCCAGAAGCCTTAACCCCCCCTCCCGAAACGTTCTCAGAGAAGACTATACATGAATACATGTACATTCCTATGAGAAATTATTTACCTAGTACAATAACCCGTATGCTCGCGTGGTCATGCGCACTCGTTGTTTATTCGCACCAGCTTATCAGATCTAGTTGTAATACTTCAGCCACCCTTGTTATCTCTTGTTGCTGTTAGGAATGAGGGGTGGTGTGATGGGGGGGGGGGGGGGGGTGCAGGCGTCAAGTTATGTAAGTCCTAACACCATCTTCCGAGTCGGTAATTAAAGAACAAAGCGGGATAAATCTGTCTACTGTCGCACATTTTTACAGTTGCGTCCCTTTCACTCTCTGATGGAGTTTACTGGTGACGATATAAATATAAAAACAAAATATCACAGTTATCAAGCAATATTGAGACTTAAAAAAATAAAACACGTCTCTTAAAAAATAAATTAACAATTGATGACTAATGTATATATTTCGTTTTACACCTGGATCACATCCTTGTTTGATACACCTCGATTGTTCTCAAGGTCAACACACCTTGTGGTCACCTTGTCCGTCCCTCCCCCAACCCTTCCCTGAACCTCAGTCGTAGCTTTGGTTAGTTTCGGTATAACGAGCCTTTTTTTTTAGGAAAACTTATGCGGGTGTGTCGAGGATTAGTGTTAAGGTCAGGAATAGGGCTTGGCTGGATTAAGGATATTTTTACAAGCTTTGCTTAGATCACAGCCTGGGTTTGTGACTAATCTGTAGCTCAATTTTGACCAACTTCTGATTCAACGATTTCGTTCAAATTTTCCAGATACCACCGTCTTAGAGGGCAATGCATAGATATCTATTTTTAAAATGTAATTTGATGTTAATTGAGTCATAAAAATTAAACGGTTTCGAAACTAAGGGATCATAACAAGATCAAATGCTATTAAGGTTAATGTTACCGCTAGGGCTATGGTCAGTGTGTGGGTTATGGCTAGGGTAATGGTCAGTGTCTGGGTTATGGCTAGGGTTTTGGTCAGTGTCTGGGTTATGGCTAGGGTTGTGGTCAGTGTGTGGGTTATGGCTAGGGTTTTGGTCAGTGTGTGGGTTATGGCTAGGGCTATGGTCAGTGTGTGGGTTATGGCTAGGGTTTTATGGTCAGTGTGTGGGTTATGGCTAGGGTTTTGGTCAGTGTGTGGGTTATGGCTAGGGTTATGGTCAGTGTGTGGGTTTTGGCTGGGGTTTTATGGTCAGTGTGTGGGTTATGGCTAGGGTTTTATGGTCAGTGTGTGGGTTATGGCTAGGGCTATGGTCAGTGTGTGGGTTATGGCTAGGGTAATGGTCAGTGTGTGGGTTATGGCTAGGGTAATGGTCAGTGTGTGGGTTATGGCTAGGGTTATGGTCAGTGTCTGGGTTATGGCTAGGGTTTTGGTCAGTGTGTGGGTTATGGCTAGGGTAATGGTCAGTGTGTGGGTTATGGCTAGGGTTTTGGTCAGTGTCTGGGTTATGGCTAGGGCTATGGTCAGTGTGTGGGTTATGGCTAGGGTAATGGTCAGTGTGTGGGTTATGGCTAGGGTTATGGTCAGTGTGTGGGTTTTGGCTGGGGTTTTATGGTCAGTGTGTGGGTTATGGCTAGGGTTTTATGGTCAGTGTGTGGGTTATGGCTAGGGCTATGGTCAGTGTGTGGGTTATGGCTAGGGTAATGGTCAGTGTGTGGGTTATGGCTAGGGTAATGGTCAGTGTGTGGGTTATGGCTAGGGTAATGGTCAGTGTCTGGGTTATGGCTAGGGCTATGGTCAGTGTGTGGGTTATGGCTAGGGTTTTATGGTCAGTGTGTGGGTTATGGCTAGGGTTTTATGGTCAGTGTGTGGGTTATGGCTAGGGTTTTATGGTCAGTGTGTGGGTTATGGCTAGGGCTATGGTCAGTGTGTGGGTTATGGCTAGGGTTTTATGGTCAGTGTGTGGGTTATGGCTAGGGTTTTATGGTCAGTGTCTGGGTTATGGCTAGGGTTATGGTCAGTGTGTGGGTTATGGCTAGGGTTTTATGGTCAGTGTGTGGGTTATGGCTAGGGCTATGGTCAGTGTGTGGGTTATGGCTAGGGTAATGGTCAGTGTGTGGGTTATGGCTAGGGTAATGGTCAGTGTGTGGGTTATGGCTAGGGCTATGGTCAGTGTCTGGGTTATGGCTAGGGTTTTGGTCAGTATGTGGGTTATGGCTAGGGTTAAGGTCTGTGTCTGGGTTATGGCTAGGGTTTTGGTCAGTGTGTGGGTTATGGCTAGGGCTATGGTCAGTGTGTGGGTTATGGCTAGGGTAATGGTCAGTGTCTGGGTTATGGCTAGGGCTATGGTCAGTGTGTGGGTTATGGCTAGGGTAATGGTCAGTGTGTGGGTTATGGCTAGGGTAATGGTCAGTGTGTGGGTTATGGCTAGGGTAATGGTCAGTGTGTGGGTTATGGCTAGGGCTATGGTCAGTGTCTGGGTTATGGCTAGGGCTATGGTCAGTGTGTGGGTTATGGCTAGGGTAATGGTCAGTGTGTGGGTTATGTCTAGGGTTTTATGGTCAGTGTGTGGGTTATGGCTAGGGCTATGGTCAGTGTCTGGGTTATGGCTAGGGCTATGGTCAGTGTGTGGGTTATGGCTAGGGTAATGGTCAGTGTGTGGGTTATGTCTAGGGTTTTGGTCAGTGTGTGGGTTATGGCTAGGGTTTTATGGTCAGTGTCTGGGTTATGGCTAGGGCTATGGTCAGTGTGTGGGTTATGGCTAGGGTTTTGGTCAGTGTGTGGGTTATGGCTAGGGTTATGGTCAGTGTGTGGGTTATGGCTAGGGCTATGGTCAGTGTGTGGGTTATGGCTAGGGTTTTATGGTCAGTGTGTGGGTTATGGCTAGGGTTTTGGTCAGTGTGTGGGTTATGGCTAGGGTAATGGTCAGTGTCTGGGTTATGGCTAGGGTTTTATGGTCAGTGTCTGGGTTATGGCTAGCCCCTGGTAATAGCACCGAGGTTAGTATAGCGATACTAGCTTAGACGTAAACGCAAACATGTCTATTTTATTTTTTACAGTACATAGTACCAAATTGTCTCACCGCCTACAACTCGCTACCACATACTACTTCATCCAAACTTACCATGGGTGTTATCCATAAAGCGCGTCACGGTTTCTTAAAAATTTACCCCCCCCCCCACTCCCCTTCGTCACACAGCGTTACAAAAAAGCCACACCCCCTTCTCAAAAATGACAGCACATCACCTACTACCTCTCTCAACTTCGCGATTTAAAAAAAAAATTGATTTCTTTCTCAAATAATTGCTGAGCATCGTCAAAACTGAGTATATTAATCAACTTCTTTAAAAATTTAGAAAAACAGTCTTGTAAAATAACAGCTGTAGTACAGTTTCTAACATGACTTTTAAAATCCAAAAGTGGGTCGACATACTTTATGTCCCCCTCGCTTCCCCTCGTCACACATCGTCACAAAACTCCAACCCTGTCCCTCGCCCTAAAAAGTGTGACACCGTTTCTGAAAGACCCAATACATTCACATTATACATTTTCTTTCCTTCTCTGGGCCTGAAACACCCCTCTATTGCTGCGACAAGACAAAAGCTTCAACCATTGATGCTCTCTTCAGGAAACTTTTACCACTAGAAATAACATTTTCTTGGAAAACGATACTAAGCGAATTACAGAAACACTTCCCACAAACAAAAAAATAAACTGTTTCAAGCTTTGAAGTTACTTCCGGGAAGAAAGGATGAGACACCGATTGTCTAGGTTTTGTCTAAAAGCTATTTTTAGATTATCGCTGACGTCACATTAGACGCGATGTATAGTGTGTTAATCTTGATCAACAAACCGAAGCCGATAGCCTTATTTGTCTAAAAGTTTATCTATTCAATCGGCTGTTTGTTATTTAGAAATTCCTTCTGATGTCCCGTCAATAACTCGACGTCTGCCAAAACAAACAACGCTTCATTTCATCACAAGTAACATCAAATTGTCTGCAGGTTCAAGCAAATTTTTAAAAAGTTTTTAAATTGCGTAAAACATTTAAAATTCCGAAATAAAAATTCGGATGTATATTTTTAGCATTGTAAGTAATTTCTACTTATCTGGCTTAGATTTTTTTTTAAATTTCCCGAGAAAATTCAGTTCAGTTCATGTTGTCTGCTGTTCAGCCGAGAAAATTCAGTTCAGTTCATGTTCTCTGCTGTTCAGCCGAGGCATTTCAGTTCAGTTCATGTTGTCTGCTAAGCCGATGAAATTCAGTTCAGTTCATGTTGTCTGCTAAGCCGAGTAAATTCAGTTCAGTTCATGTTCTCTGCTAAGCCGAGGAAATTCAGTTGAGTTCAATTTGTCTGCTAAGCCGAGGAAATTCAGTTCAGTTCATGTTCTCTGCTAAGCCGATGAAATTCAGTTCAATTCATGTTGTCTGCTAAGCCGAGGCAATTCAGTTCAGTTCATGTTCTCTGCTGTTCAGCCGAAGAAATTCAGTTCAGTTCATGTTGTCTGCTAAGCCGAGGCAATTCAGTTCAGTTCATGTCTGCTGCTAAGCCGAGGCAATTCAGTTCAGCTCATGTTGTCTGTTGTTCAGGTTTAGAGTCACGGCCGTCAGATGACGATGGACATCCTGACCCCCGTCCCCATCTCCTCCTACCACGGGTGCAACATCACCGTCGTGGAGCACTACACCGCAAGCTGGAACTACGCTTCCGCCCATGGTCAGTTTCTTCTGGAATCGCCTCTGGCCGCGGGTCAAACATTTGATCTGGAATTTCACGGCGAAGGTACGTGGTCATATTTTTAAAAAATTATATTTTAACAACGTATTTATTTTAATTTTATATTATAAAACAGACATGGTGATCTATGTGGGCAGATGAAGTAGATTTAATCCGTATTAACGCGAGACACGAATGTCATATGACCAGCCGGTATGACACGAATCAGGTACTCATTAAAGCTAATTGGACTCATTAACACATTTTTTTTACACGAACCTGAACCTGAGAAATCAAGGGCAGCAATTTCTTACCACTCAGCCAATCTAAACGCATGTGTCGGAACCTTGACCTTTCAACCAACCCTAACAGATTTATCTAACCCGACCTTCCAGCAAACCCAGATCTCAGGTCAACCTAAACCAGTGATTCTAACTTTGACCTTCAGCCCCGATAAACTGGTGTATCTGGCCTTGACCTACCAGTCAATACAGGCTCGTGTGTACGACCTTGACATTCAATTAACCTTAACCTTGACCTTCTAGTAAACCCCGATGCATGTACCTGACCTTCACCTTCCCTCCAACCTAAACTCGTGCATCTGACCTCGACCTTCCAACTAACCTAAATCTCTTGTGTCTGATATTGACCTTCCAGGAATAATGAAAATCGAAGGGTTCCCCACGAAGCTCGCGGCGGTCGAGTGGTTGACCTCCAGACACCCCCTGTCCGCGACCAGCAAAAGGATTCGAACCCACAGCCTCGTCCATCTCCAAGTCTCCATGATGGCTGATGGCAACACTATCGCGTTCAAGTCGAAAGATTTACCGAGGGTGAGTTATGGTTCTTGTCGTTTTGAGATGGTCTCACATTCATTTTTGTCATTTTTGAGATGGTCTCACACACATTTTTTGTCAATTTGAGATGGTCTCAAACTCTTTCTTGTCATTTTGAGATGGCTTCACGCACATTTGTGTCATTTTGAGATGGTCTCAAACTCTTTCTTGTAATTTTGATATGGTCTCAAACTAATTATTGTCATTTTGAGATGGTCTCACGCACATTCTTGTCATCTTGAGATGGTCTCAAACTCATTCTTGACATTTTGAGATGGTCTCACACTCATCAATGTCATTTTGAGATGGTCTCCCATACATTCTTGTCATTTTGAGTTGGTCTTACGCACATTTTTGTAATTTTTGAGTTGGTCTCACATTCTTGTCATTTTGAGTTGGTCTTACGCACATTTTTGTAATTTTTGAGTTGGTCTCACATTCTTGACATTTTGAGATGGTCTCACACACTCTCCTATGATCTCTGTCTATCCAGATGACACTATCTGGCACGGTGCTGGCATTTGACATCCTGTATGGTGATGTGTGTGTCTCAATCTTCAACCACACCAATTCTTCCCACACAGACATTAGGTTTGATGCAGACTTACACAGGTAGGTTGATTAAGTTTAATGAAGATTTGTAGAGGTAGGTTTACTAGGTTTAATGAAAATTTGTAAAGGTAGGTTGACTAGGTTTTATGAAGATTTGTAAAGGTAGGTTGACTAGGATTGATGCAGATCTGCACAGGTAGGTTGACTAGGTTAAATGCAAACTCGCACAGGTAAGGTGATAAGGTTTACTGCCGACTTGCCGAGGTATGAAGGTTATATGCACGTGTGTTCACATTTAGTCTATTATGTAAAAATTGATTTATCATTTTTTTGTGAAGGATGATTTTACATTAGATATTTAGGGGGATATGTATTCAATTTTTTTTTTTTTTTTTTTTTTTTTTTTTTTTTTTTTTTTTACTAACTTAACAGAAGCATTAATAGTAACCTTTATCTTTAAAGTAAACCACTTCAGACATTAAACTTATTAATAATTGTCAGGACATTTGTCAGTGAATACATAATAAATGTCAGTTTTTTTGTCATACATAATAAATGTCATGCTTTCCGTCAGTGAACACATCACCATCGCCCAACCGTCCAGCCGCATCTGTCACGCCTGGCTCAACCACTACAACCCCACCTCTCTGTGCAGCCTCGACAACTGCCCTTTGACCCTGGGCACCCTGCTCCAGCTGGAGGTCACGGGACCGGAAGACACCAAGAAGACCGGAAGTTACGTGCGCGTGTGTGTTGCCAGGCGGCACAACGTGTACGAGAACAACCGAGTGGCCAGGTGCGTGGGGACGCCGGACTGTCCGGAGTTTAGCGGGGATAAGATCCCCATTACGTCACAGTGCCGGCAGATAATCCTGATTCAGGTCTTCCAAAATCACCTCAGTATTTGTAGGTGAGTTAATAACAATAGTATTTGCAGGTAAGTCATTCATAATCACCTTAGTATTTCCAGGTGAGTCATTCAGAATTACATCAGATTTGCAGGTAAGTCATTTATAATAATCTTCGTATCAGTATATGCAGGTAAGTTAACAACCTTAGTTGTAGGTGAGCTTGAGTTAACAACCTCAGTATATGTTGGTGAGTTATTCATAATCACCTCAGTATTTGCAGTGAGCTATTTAGAACTACCTCAGTATTTGCAGGTGAGTTAAAAACATCAGTATTTACAGGTGAGTTAACATCCTCAGTATTCATAATCACCTCAGTATTTGCAGTGAGCTGCTTCGAACTACCTCAGTATTTACAGGTCTTTAAAAACTACCAAACTATTTGTTGTTTTTCTCGCTATCAACACTAGAGAGTGACTAAGGTTGTTCATATCTTCAATACAAAGACAAACTTTTAAAAAAAAAATTAAATTACTTGACTCATCGATCTCATTAACGTTTTTATTTTATCTTTCTCCCCAATTAGCGACGGTCAGGTGGTCCCTAATGGCGGATACAACGGTCGAGTGACCGTCAACCTGGATGACGAGTGTGCACTGTGGTTTGAGGTGCACCAGGTCAAGCTAAAGATATGGCACTGTACAAAAGGTGAGTACTTAAAGATATGGCACTGTACTAAAGGTGAGTACTTTGTGACACTGTACAAAAGTTAAGCTCTTAAAGATATGGCACTGTACAAAAGGTAAGCTCTTAAAGATATGGCACTGTACAAAAGGTAAGCTCTTAAAGATATGGCACTGTACAAAAGGTGAGTACTTTGTGACACTGTACATAAGGTAAGCACTTAAAGATATGGCACTGTACTAAAGGTAAGCACTTTGTGACACTGTACAAAAGGTAAGCACTTAATGGACAGGTGAGTCTCAGTATGGAATTAATGTTTACCTGTATACAGAATGACTTGTGAAATCGCCACGGTTAATAAATAACTTATACAAGTAAAAGTTTAGGTAGGATAATTTGACATCGTATCAAAATACGGACAGAATTAAGGCGAGGGGCGATAATGGTTCATGATTACAGTTATAGATTGGGCTAGGGTCAAGGCTGACCAAAGCATAGATGTGGTTTGATATGCTGTCGTTGTTTTCCAATCTTATTTAAAACTCGGCAGTTATTTGTCTACTGTGAAGCGCGTTTAGTAAAGGGGGACAACAAAAGAAATATTGAACACAGAGCAGGCAATGAAGAGTTACTGAGTTATAGGAACACATTTTTTTTTTAAAATTAGTTTTAAATTACTTTTTTTTCTTTTTATGACCGGTGTTTGACAGGCTTAGCTGCTTACTACTATACAAGTATTCAATTATTTTATTTATTTATTTATTTATTTTTTAAACCAGCCGACAGTGATGTGCAACCTCCTAGTTTCCCCGCTCCTCCAGTGCCGCGGGTTCGCCGCCAGACTAGGCTGACATTGGACTCTGAAGGTTACTTAAACCACAACTCAACCCACAACTCAACCCACACCCCAACCCACAACCCAACCCAAAACCGAACCCACCGGTCAACCCCCAACCCAACACAAAAGCCAACCCACAGCTCAAACCACAGGTCAACATACAACACCATCCGGAAACCAACCCCCAACACAACTCGCAACTCAAACCTTAACTCAAACCTCAGCTCAAATAACCCCACCCCCCGGGACCGAACGACCCCCGGGTCAGACACCAGCAGCCACACCTACTTCCCTATCACCCTGCTGACGACCTACGCCAACGGCAGAACTTTCTCGAACGATGGAGCCTCCTGTAATTCAGCCACCACCACCACCACCAACAACAACAACAACACTAACAAAACCACCACAACCGATCCCGACTGCGAACACTACCAGAACCTCCAAAACGAGGTTCTAGAACGCCGTGTACTCTCCTCGTCCCGATCACCTAAACCAAGATCGACTTCCGGTGAAACGACAGCAGCCAGGCGTATCAAAACCCCGCGAGAACATCGTACCCACGGGCCGAGAGATCCCCGACCCCACACCTCCTGCTACCAGAATTTCTTCAAGAAAAGACTAGGCTGGAAATATCCCACCCAGAGACCAAAGTGCAGACATTCTAAAAGAGAGACATCCACGGAGTTAAAGTTCACTGATAATGGCGACAGGGGCGGTAAATCAGACAAGGGGGATAACTCACGTGAGAAAGTTCGAAAAAGCGGAGACAACTCTTCGTGTATGGCGAAGAGTCATGAGATCGGGTACGTAAATCGAAATTTAAATAAAAGTTCTGAAAAGAATCAGCCGCAAAAGGAAAAATCGAACGAGTCATGTAAAGGATTTCAAGACACGGTGCCTGTACAAGGTGGGACTACGCCTGTATACAGCAGGGCTGTACGCCCTAAAACAGCCTCTAACGACAGCCGAACTGATGCAGCTTCTTACGACAGCCGAGTTGTTTCCAGCACCATCAACAGCTCGGCCACACCACGCGACAACAGCACAACCAGCAGCTTTTGGATCTCCAGTAACGGCAGCTCAACAGGCATTTCGGGCACCATGCCCCAGCCATCTGACGAAGAAGACACCGAGGCCAAAGCTCTACCCTCCCCACCTCGACACCGCTACACCACTGTTCTAGAACACCACAGTTTCATACGCTCTACTTCCCCTTCCCTCACCGGAAGTTCCGCTCTAGAAACTCGACCTTTGACCCCTGCTTCTACCGACCAATCTCAGACCTGCTGCAAGGAATTCCAAACCATGCGTGACGACGCAGTCTCCGATAACGACACCGTATTCACCTGCAGCGAACATCTCTCCCACAGTTCGAACGGTTCTGAAAATAGTGATGTTCACGACTCCAACAACATGGGAGATGACTCTAATATAAATATCAACGAACTGAACCGATCTTCGATGGGATCAGGCGCCTGTTCGGTGCTTATGCGACAAAATAAGATAACCCCAAATAGGAACATTATTGCCAGCAACTCGCTGAACGACGTTTCATGCAGGCGATCAAAGAGCTTTACCGTCACGATTGAGAACGGTCCTGTGATGAGGCTACAGGAGGGCAAGAGGAGTAACTCTGAGAGCAGCAGCACAGACTCGTATGGAAGAAACTTCAGCCCGCCTTGTCCCGGGCGAGATTCCAGAAAACCGCAGAACTAAACTAGCTTCAACATGCGTATTAAATTTTAGACATCAGAAGAATCATAGATTTTTTTTCAATTGAAACGATGTTGAAAAACTTAAAAAAAAGTATTATGGTTAAAAAGGAAACAAAAGTAGTACTACTTCACACATTTGTAAAAATGTTGAAGCCTCTATATGAAGTAGATTTGAGCTTTATCTAACGTTACGTAGGCCTATTAGAAGGTGCCATGTTCACATACTCAGTGGAGTTATCAACGTCCTACATACTCTTTTCAGTAGCCGAACTAAAGACACTGTTTGGTACAGATTGTATGATACACCACACCACTCTTGTAAATCTTATATTGTTATGAATAAACCATATACAATTAAACTCTCGTTAGCTTAGTATGTGTGCTGTTGCATTTTCTGAATTGTTTTCGTGCATAGTAATAAATGAACTTATTTTAATGTATCAGAGTTATAAAACGTTACATAATAATTAGGTACTGTTTTGTTGAAGCTAAACTGATAGTTGGAGATTAGCATCATGCCATGACACATCGAATATATATTTTCTGATGGTGTTTCTGGTCAGTGAAATGTCAGTACCGCCACATGCTAGACTTTCAGGAATCTCTCGGTGGGGGAGAGAGGGGGTGGGGGAACGACCACTGCCCTATACACCCCTCCAGACAAAACAGAAACAAAATGTATAGTTTATTTAGAAAATATTAACTTTAACCAATGCCCCCCCTTCCCTTGCTCCAGAAAATGTAAGTGCGCAACCCCCCACCCCCTTCCCCATTTGGAAGTTTACAAGTCTACCTGTCTAGAGCAATACTGTCTAGCTACAGCCATACCACCTAGCTACAGCCATACCACCTAGCTATAGCCATACTATCTAGCTACAGCCATACCATCTAGCTACAGCCATACCATCTAGCTACAGCCATACCATCTCGCCACAGCCATACGACTCACCTAGCTACAGCCATACCACCTAGCTACAGCCATACCATCTCGCCACAGCCATACCATCTAGCTACAGCCATACCATCTAGCTACAGCCATACCATCTAGCTACAGCCATACCATCTAGCTACAGCCATACCATCTAGCTACAGTCATACCATCTAGCTACAGCCATACCATCTAGCTACAGCCATACCATCTAGCTACAGCCATACCATCTAGCTACAGCCATACCATCTAGCTACAGCCATACCACCTAGCTACAGCCATACCATCTCGCCACAGCCATACCATCTAGCTACAGCCATACCATCTAGCTACAGCCATACCATCTAGCTACAGCCATACCATCTAGCTACAGCCATACCATCTAGCTACAGCCATACCACCTAGCTACAGCCATACCATCTCGCCACAGCCATACCATCTAGCTACAGCCATACCATCTAGCTACAGCCATACCACCTAGCTACAGCCATACCATCTCGCCACAGCCATACCATCTAGCTACAGCCATACCATCTAGCTACAGCCATACCATCTAGCTACAGCCATACCATCTAGCTACAGCCATACCATCCAGCTACAGCCATACGACTCACCTGGCTACAGCCACACAGCTCATCTCGCCGTTCTCGTCCATCTGGACCTGGGTTATCCACAGATGAAAGCTGTAGATGATGGCGGCGCTGATGAAGACGAGGGCGATGCTGAAGCCGGCCCGGCGAGGGGTGCAGTAGACCTTGACCAGGTGGGGTCGGGAGATCCGGACAAAGTTCTCGTGGGACACGAGGACAATCAGCCAGACAGACGTGAAGCTGCAGGCGTAACTCAGAAATACCGTCAGCTGGGGAACGTATATATATATATATATATATATATATATATATATATATATATATATATATGTAACTAGGGGAAGTTACCAAGAGACATAACGTGTTACAGTCTGACGTCACAGTGCAGGTGTTGGATGATGCCAAGGCGTAATATCTCGGGAAGCGATACGAAAGACGGTCTGTCAACTTTGATGTGACAGGATGCAGGTGGCTTATTAAAATCGGACTGTACGACAGAAGCGGCGTAATTAACAGTCTGATGTAACGATTAGAATCGATTACAATTACGATTACGGAAATGGATACAAGTACGACTACGATTTCAAGGGATAAATAGGGGGGGGACGGCGGAGCTCGACCCTTTTCCCCTCTTGCCTCCTTCATCGCTCGCTTAGATCAGTCAGTCTGTGGGACTATGTCAAGTCGGTTATAGAACGGGTTAGCCGTATTGTGTTAAGGAGGATTATAGACATGTGGATTCAGTTATATAAAGCCTAGTGAAGGACTGTTAGGGGTCAGTTGATTCAGACTATTATTGAGAAGCATTCCTGTTGATTTATTGTGTTATTATGAAGCATTTCTTGATTCATGTAATAAAGGATCAATAGCGAACCTGCATCTTGAGTATCTATACTGTGGTCAATGTTGTCTAGAATGAGTGGTTAAACTCGTTAACACGTGGCACTACAGGCAATTAGGTCTCATTACATGTGGCGTTGCGAGCATGGTAACTGTTGGCTCGTTACAATTGGCGTTGTCGGCAGGATAAATGTTCGCTCGTCACAATTGGCGCTGCGATCAGGATGAATTCAACTAGACTTGCCGTTTAAGGCACCTATAGTCAACCTTGTGCATAACTGTGTTTAGTGTGTGTGTGAATTCGGACATTCAGGAACTGTGAAAATTGAGGAACGAGGAAAAATTTTTCATACACACACGGTAAGAAAGAACTCTCTTTTTTTTTAGTACTTAAGGAAGAAAATGTCTACTCTGGACGAGAAGCAGACCCATATAGTGGTCCTACCCAGAGAGTCCCATATTAACAAATTTTACGGGGACGGAGATCCAACTTTAACCAACAGGTTCAGTGAAGAGGTCAAAGCGGCCTGGGCCTCGAGACATATGTCACCAGAGGAAAGATTAAGACTGCTGATGGGCAGTATAGGTGAAACGGTTAGGGCAGAGGTTAAGTGCCACGATAGGACCGTCCAATCAGATCCAGATAAGGTGCTGGATCTGATTATGGAGACCTTTGGGGAGAGACGGTCGGGAGTGCAACTGCTATCGGGATTCGTGGGCTTAAAGCAGAGAATGGCGGAGAGTGTGATGGAGTACTCACACAGGATGAACAGGGCCTTTGATTTGGTAAAGGGCAAATCACCGGACATTGATGTACGCCTACTGAGGGACCATTTCATCGAGGGGCTAGCAACCCCGATCTTAAAGAGAGAGTTGAAAGAGGAGGTCCACAAAGACCCGCAGTTGACCTTCCTTCAGGTCAGGAACTCAGCGATCCGCAGGTCCGAGGATGAGGACCAATCGAACTGTTCGGTGGACAAAGTCTCTGTGCCTGAACAGAGACAATCCCCACCCACAGGGGCCGACACGATGGAGACCATGATGGCTCAACTGTTGGCCCACCTAGAGAAGGTTGACCAACGTTTGGAGAGGTTGGAAAGCAGGTCAACAGCTGAGAATCAGGAAAAGAACGGGACAAAACAGGGACGGGTTGGACGGCCGCGTCCTGCCAAGCCATCACTCCAATGGACGGCAGACGGTCGACCAATTTGTTTGTCTTGTTCACAACCCGGACATATGGCACGGTACTGTCCGGTGAAACGATCGCCCTCTGTACGGCAGGTCAAGGCTACAGAGCGGCGAGGTAAGGACTTGGTAAACAAAATGACACAGAAACACAGTAGGGAGAAAAAGAAAGGCAAAACACAACTAATGGAAAAAATGAACTGTGAAATGAACTTGAATGTTGAAAAGTTTCAAGTGAACAATTTGTTGGTAGAGAAAAATGATGATAAGAAGAAAATTGGTAGACTTAATAAAGGAATTCAAAGTCTAACCAGGAAACTGGATAGGAAAAGTTCATGCAAATTAAAAGCACAGGAGAAATGTTCATCTTTAGAGTGTCTGTTATCGGAAGAAGTAAATAAAAATAGTGGACAACAGAACAGTGTTGGCAAACTAGAAAAATTATCAGATATTGAAAAAGAACTTCAAATTACAGCAAGGCTGGGATCCATCGAACAGCGATGGGCAGCAGAATTGGCACTCTTTGACCTAGAGATAAAGTATCGCCCGGGGCGGTCCAATGGCAATGCGGACGCCTTATCAAGGAATCCTTACGAGAGACCGGGTGATGAGGAGGAAACACTGACAGGAATATGTGAGGTCAGAGCGTCAACAGATATCCCTCATGGGGTACAAGTGATGCAAAACGGGCAGACCGGGGTGGAGCACATATCCACGGAACCCGAACATATGGACAGTAGTGATTTTAATTGCCTTAATCACCAAAAGATAAGAGATGCCCAGAGAACGGATAGTGGCTTACAACCGCTATTGAAACACGTCCAGGAACAAAAATTCCCAGGAAGAAGGGAAAGAGAACAATTTGGTCGAGAAACAAAGAAAATACTGAGTCAGTGGAACCGTCTCAGTATAAAGGATGGTGTTCTCATGCGGAGAATTCATGACCAAATTGATGGGACAATACACCAGGTGGTGGTGCCTGGACAGTTAAGAGAAGAAGTGCTAAGGTTGGCACATGACAGGGCAGGACACCAGGGTCAGGACAGGACGCACAAAATATTACGACGGAGGTGTTACTGGCCCAATATGGAAATGGAGGTCAAACGCCATTGTGAGGCTTGTGTGAGGTGTCAGCATGCGAAAATGCCAGTTGTCAAAATGAGACAGCCATCAGGACACCTACTAGCGACAAAACCACTAGAGATTGTGGCTATGGACTTTACGTCGTTGGAGCAATCATCGGATGGGACGGAACATGTGTTGGTAATGACTGATGTATTCACCAAATGGACTGTGGCGGTGCCCACACGAGATCAGACTGCCAAAACAGTGGCAAAGGTCTTAATAGAACATTGGTTCATCAAATATGGCATACCAAGACAATTACACTCTGACCAAGGAAGGGCTTTCGAGTCAGAAGTAATTAACCAACTGTGCAACCACTACGGGATCAACAAATCTAGAACAACCACATTTAATCCGAAAGGAAACGGACAGTGTGAACGGTTCAACCGCAGCATGCATGATTTGCTGCGTACGCTAGAACCTGAACAGAAAAAACGTTGGCCTGATTTTCTCCCAGAGTTGGTATATCTATACAACTGCACACCACATGCCACAACCGGCTTTTCGCCATACATGTTGCTGTTCGGACGAGAGGCTCGACTCCCTCTTGATTTGTTCCTAGGAAAAAGGGAGAGTATGACTGGCTCATACACCGCACTGGAATATGTGAATGAACATATGAGAAGAATTAGAGAAATGTACAGGGTAGTACAGGAAAGACTAGAACATGAATCTCGGCGAAGGGAACCGCCGATACAGACGAAGGACCCGCCACTCAAACTGAATGACAGGGTATTACTGCGTAGCCACCCGTTAGGCAGAAACAAAATCCACGATCTCTGGGGACAGGAGATATGGCAAGTCGTGGAGATGCCTAAAGTAGCAGGTGGCCCCTTTAAGATAAGACCCATCGATCACGCCAAACCGGATCGGTGGGCGAATATTGCTCAATTAAAGAAATATTGGAATAGGCAAGAAGAGCAGTTACACACACAGAAACCCAAGACAATTAGGGAACCGGAAGTTATAACGGAAATTCACATACCCATTCCGGAACCATATCACCATCAACAGAACAACAGCGATACGCAAGGGGAGGATACCGGCAACAATGAGGATCCCGGTCCCTCCAAAAGCAGAGAGACAGTAGACCATCAGATAAGTGGTCCGCGGAGAAGTTTGAGAAACAGAAAGAATACGAAATTTTTTGTCAGCAACCATCAATTCTTTCATGGTCGCGCTGGTATGAAAACAGACTGTTCAAAAAGTCATAAAAGTGAACTGGTGAAGGCACCAAACGAAAAAAGGTGGATGTGAATTCTAGAACTGTTTTGTGTCTGAGGAGGATGATGTAGACACATTGGATATGTGAAATGGGGATAACTGTCAATCTTATACGAATGTGACGACATTGACAGTGAGTGGAACAATGGATTTTTTTTTACGGTGGTGCGATGGACTTTGAAGGACTGCACCTGCCAAGCGTTGTTTGTGGTTGATAACACACAAAAAAAGGCAGGGGTGGATGTAACTAGGGGAAGTTACCAAGAGACATAACGTGTTACAGTCTGACGTCACAGTGCAGGTGTTGGCTGATGCCAAGGCGTAATATCTCGGGAAGCGATACGAAAGACGGTCTGTCAACTTTGATGTGACAGGATGCAGGTGGCTTATTAAAATCGGACTGTACGACAGAAGCGGCGTAATTAACAGTCTGATGTAACGATTAGAATCGATTACAATTACGATTACGGAAATGGATACAAGTACGACTACGATTTCAAGGGATAAATAGGGGGGGGACGGCGGAGCTCGACCCTTTTCCCCTCTTGCCTCCTTCATCGCTCGCTTAGATCAGTCAGTCTGTGGGACTATGTCAAGTCGGTTATAGAACGGGTTAGCCGTATTGTGTTAAGGAGGATTATAGACATGTGGATTCAGTTATATAAAGCCTAGTGAAGGACTGTTAGGGGTCAGTTGATTCAGACTATTATTGAGAAGCATTCCTGTTGATTTATTGTGTTATTATGAAGCATTTCTTGATTCATGTAATAAAGGATCAATAGCGAACCTGCATCTTGAGTATCTATACTGTGGTCAATGTTGTCTAGAATGAGTGGTTAAACTCGTTAACACGTGGCACTACAGGC